CTGATTTTGCCCTAGATCCCCAAGTGGCCCCCTCAAGGACTGAACTCACAACCCTGGGTTTAGCAGGCCAATGCTCAAACCACTGAGCTATCCCTCCCCCACGCTGTGGTATATGCACACAAGTCTTGATGGGCAATCAGAAAACTAGGAGCACGGGGGATGAGGGTGACTGCATGCTGCTTCTAGATTTTAAAGCATGTATACTATTTTAATGAAACATAACTTTATCCTGATTGCCATGAAAGATTCAGAAAGCACTGACTTATTTCTTTTCAAATCTTTATAAATTCATCTTATACAAAATTGACAGTTCCAAAATCAAAATACCTGCTTCTAATAGGATCTGTTTATTGGGATATTACAATACATGAATGTTCTATACGACGGTAGCTTCAGAACAGAAGTTAGAGTAAACAACACACTATAATTCTGGGTATTTGTGAGCTAATAAGTAAAACACGAATTCAATTCCTCTAGAAGTAATGGAGTGAAACTGCCCATGCAATTATTTTCAATAGAATAAGTCCACTCTCATCTCATTGTAGCAGACTATAGTTCTACCAGGCTCCTCATGCACTGATTGTTGATTTGAGCAGTCTCCTAATTTATATTACATTACATGAATTTGTCTTTATTATGCATAAATAATGAAAAAAAACCTGTCATTAACCAGACGGCCATTAAAAACCATCAAAGCTGTCAATTACATGATAAACCAAAATATGTGTAGTGACAGATGAAATTTGATTGCAGTTAAATGCGGAAGGATGATGAACACCGCTTGTGGTACACATATTGCAAGATTCTTTTCTTCCTCCACAGCCGCACGATTCTGAACTTTTAAAATACCAAAGCCAAATTAGAAGGGCTGCTGCATTTTAAATGAAGATGGTAAAAGTTAAAAATCGCAGAATAGTTTGCATCCCCCTCTTCCCCGACTTACTTTGGTGTCTAAGCCTTTTAAGCCAAAGCTAAGATGGCTGCCCCTTCCGTGATCTTTTTCTGTCTTTGCATGAACTCTCATTAAAATAAACAGAAATGAGCAGAGCTCTAGGAAGAGCATGAGAGCCTGAGCCAGCTCCCATTAAAGTCAATAGGAAGATGGAAGGTAAGTCAGCCCCTTCGTTATCACTAGTTCTATAGCAAGCAGACAAAGATGTAATAATGATATGGGATGGCAATTTTTTAAACATAATGGGACAATTAACTTACATGCAACTTAAGCACATGCTTAATTTAAGTACTTGCTTAAGTGCTGTCTTGAATAAGAATGTTTTTATTAATCAGAGCTTTATAGATTTGGAAGACACTATTCACGTTATTGCAAATGTACTCAACAAGCCTACATGGTAATCTTGCTTGAGTCACTCCTAAAGTGTAAGCAGCAGTGTATTTTTAACAACAAAAGAAACCCATCAAAGACACATAGACTAGACATATGCCTGCCTAAACAAAGTGAGTGCATAACTGTATATGCATAACCTGTGATTTTTCCACCTTGATGGTGTGTATTATATCTTCAGTGGTTTGTCATCAAGTCCCTAATATTGCAATCATATGTACACAAATAGAATGGGCACTGGTGTGCAACTGCATTGGAGTCAACAGAGCTCTGTGCAAACACAGGGATATGCTCATGCAGATCCATTTGTAAGTTTGGGGCCTGACCCAAAGCCCACTGAAGATAATGGGAGTTAGGAAAGTATCCCTATTCAGGACAGTACTTCAGCAAGTCCTTAACTTTGGGATAAAAACAACAAGGATGCATCTGAAGAAGTGGGTTTTTTTACCCACGAAAGCTTGCCCAAATAAATCTGTTAGTCTTTAAGGTGCCACCAGACTCCTAGTTGTTTTTGTGGATACAGACTAACATGGCTACCCCTCTAAACTTTGGGATGTAATTATTTGCCTAAAATTAAGCACATCCTTAAGTGTTTTCCTGAACTGGGGCCTTAGGCTGAATATCTGAAGTCTGTCTGTCTTCTGTGCATTTTCTGGGCACCTGTAAGTACACTATAAAATAACATATCAACATAATTCAAAATGTCAAATTGTATAGCTAAACAAGGTGAGCATTTAATGCAATATTCATTATATTCTTCCTATTTTTGAGATAAGGTCTGTATTTTTACACTAACTCTAGACATTTCAGGATTTTCATTGTGAGAAACGGTTGAGAAATAAAAATACTTTAAAATGGTAATATATAATTTATTATCCCAGGTCAAATGAATGACAACATTCTAGTGTATAAGGAATGTACAATTCATGTGAAAAACATTAAGCTGAATGGTACAAAGCCAATGAGAGTTGAATTTACTCTATATGATTGGATGTATAGCCTGATCAAATTAGTAATGTGACTTATTGAAGATGATGGGTGTAAGATAAAAATAAATTTCTATGTTTATTTTAATTTCTAATATATACTCCAAAGAGGATATTAAATAAATTATGTATTACAAATGTTAAATAATCACTGTATTTTTCCGTTTCTGTAATTATATATTTATGGATAGGGCATTTGTATTCTATAACCATAATACCATGACTGATAAATTAAGTAATGGATTCTCTGAAAAGGTTCCATCATCCTATTCTGCCAGCGGGAGGGAAGGAATCTGTATGTGATGGAGCACCAGTGAAAATTGATTAATTTATTCTCCGTGTACACAAATAAATCCACAGTCTTTTGAAACAGCTGTTTTATTTTAAAAGTTCTGGCCAGTTAGCAGAGGAAGACAGGGGAGGAGGACTTGTGAGAGTATGGGAATGTGTAGGGAGGATAGAGAAATTCACCTTCTATAGACAGAAATATAGAGGTTCATGAAATTTCTTGTAATGCATAAACCATTAATGCAATACAAAATACTGGGGAGTTGCTACAATCCATGTACACACACCTCCATCAATGATCTACTGCTAGCACCTAAACCTTTGAGGCTAAATTATAATTGATTTATTTGCACCTTTTTCCAATGTCAAAAAGCTATCCTTTTGCAGGTCTAACTTCAAATACAAATTGCAACAGCTCATCCGTATTTCATGTTTTGCAATCCCTCTCAATTTCCTTAGATATATATGTGAGAACCTATTCACTGCATTATCAGGTTGCCTTGACACACATGGCCTCTATCCCATACTACACTTGGAAATTAAACATTTTGCCTAGTTTAGGACACTAGTTTAGCTTGTAATTTCAATTTTATCCATAGTGGCTGATTTGTATACTGTAATATTTTAACCTGAAACATACTAAAAGCCAACTCTGTGAAGAGGAAGACAGGTGATTTTTGGGTAGGAGTGCGTGGTGAGAAACTAAGTGAGGTTAAGGGTTGTTGTGTGGCTATATGGTAGGGAGTAGGAGTGGATGGGGTTACGATCAGTAGGAAATGGGGAAAAACGATTGCAGGAAGGGTAAAGTTTGGGGTGAACGGACAAAAGTTGCAGGGAACGAACAAAGCGTAAAAAATTAAACATATTTTGCAATAATAAAAATATATTTAGTGTAGTTAAAAATGGAAAATAAGAGCTCAGGGTTGGTTGCAATCATTATACTAGTTGATGGATAAAACGTTTAAAAAATGTTGCATTCTTTTTAGATAAGCTGTATAGGGCACGCATTCACTCTATGCTGGTAAAGTGCCTACTTTTGGGTGCTATATGAACAACGGCAAAGATGGAGCTTAAGGTTTTCAAAGAAGCGTACCACTTGACTCAGCATTAACAGAATGTCACATAATTCCTTTCAAGATGTCAGTGATTAACCGAATCTTAAAACCATTCACTGAACCTGGGTACATACAGAGATCAAGGGCTGTATTCTGGCTTTTAAAAACTTACATATGTAAATCCCCCCATGGCCTCCCATGGATCTTCTATGCAGCCAAAGTATATTGGCCACACTGTGTTGTTGAAGAGTCTTCACAATATGTGATTCTAGTCTAGTCTATTTAGGATTATACAACAAACTAGTTATCTGAATAGAGATTTCAAATATGACCATGAAAAGGCCCTCATTTCCACTATACAGTATACAAAGCATAGTAAAGAATAGTGTATGTCTTATGTACAATACACGTTGCCCACAATATTCTGCCACAAAGAGGCAGCCTCTACTAGTGCATAATGCACAGCAGCTGTTTGGATTGAACTGTAAATAGAAATGCTTTAAACACATTTATTTATGCTGATTATTAGAGAGTTGTCACTTCTGATACCCAAAGATACAGGATTAATATACCTTTTGCTACTTTCTGCAAAGAATACTATTGAGGATTGGAAATAAAAACACTGTCTGCATTTTTTTCAGGCCACAATTTAAACTTCATCACCAACCTGAAAAATTCTTTTAAAAGAAGATACCAATATTATTCACAACACAGACATCATGGTTCATTGTCTGATCTCTGCAGACAATTTTAATTGCCTGATGCATTATGAAGCAGTAGAAATCAAAGACTAATCTTTACAGAACAGCTGTAAATTTTAAGCTTGTAGGTGACTATGTCAGCACTTTGTGATTCTGAACTAATGATTAAAGAGATAACATGAGCACACAGAATTCTCTCCTCACCCTGTCCACGTTGAATGAATTGTATATCTCAAACCGAAGAGCCAGCTATTGTTTTATCACTAAACTACACAGAATCCCAGATTTGACCAATTTTCAGATTATTTTTTATTACTTTGCTAATTTCAAGTATTACAACAATGCACTTTTGTTAACAAAACAAAAAAAGTAAAAGCAACACCAATATTTTCACTATGTACTGACCCAAAGATACATTGCATGGATTATCATGATCTTATCTAAGAGGATTATAGGGTAAAATAAAAATCCACTCCAGTGAAATGAAATTGAGTTTTCAGAGAAGGCAGAAACTGCTTACTACACTAAATTTCTTACACAGGTAGAAGAAAGGCAAATGTGGAAAGTTACCTACAGTGGGGTAAAAAAACCAATGTTCATCTTTATAGTGTGTAATCAAATTACTTACTGTTCAGAATACAGATTCTGTGACCAAATCTTTTCTTTGTTCAGGATTCCAGGTTTCTGTAAGAAAAACATTAATTTGATTTCTCATATGCATAAAACAAATCAGGTCGTTTACTTCATGCCACAGGTTCGCCTTTTTAGTTAACTTGTGTACGCTCTAAGGGTACATCTTCACCACAAATGCAGGTGTCATTGCAACCCGGGTAGGTATACCCCCACTAGTTTAAATTTAGCTAGAGCTGGTACTAAATTTTGCTAGCTTTAACAATAGCAGTGAAGACGAGGGAGTACAGATCCTGGTGTGGGCCAGCAACCAGAGAACATACACAGAATCCCGAATGGGCGTGTAGTGAGGCGACTAGCCCGCATCACCACAACTTTACTATCACTGTTACCCAGACCAGCTCAATCAAAGCTATCATGGGTATTTCTACCCGTGCTACAATCACAGCTTCATTTACAATGTAGACATAGCCTAAGATTTACAGCCCAAGTTTACCATGGGAGGGGACAGAGTGGGAGGAAAATCTTCAAGGTTCCCTTTCCAAAGATTCCTTTGAACCCAGTGGTTTTGACTCTTGTATCCTGCAGTAGAAGCAGAGAGTTTGGCCCCCCCAGAACCCATGGATTGTCCAATATCTTCTGAAATCTGGGCCTCTGAGGCACTCCTGAGGCTCTCCTCAACTCTTATGCTGACAGGCCTTCACCTAGGGGCAATGCCCACTGAAATCCTCCACTTAAATTTCACATTCTGGTTGTATTAACTCTTAAACAGGGTCCCCATGAAAGTGAAGAGGCTGGAGACATACACTATTTCTTCCCTGTTACTGCCACAGCCTTCTCCCTCCCCTGCCAGAGGAAGAGTGGGGAAAATGCTGCAGGGGTGCCTCATGCCTCACTCCACCTTGTCATGCAGTCAGTTATATGATAAGCAGTGATCACAGCAACCATTGTCAGGTGTTTTATAGGCATCACAGCAGAGATGAGTTTTAGGGCTGGATTTGGAGGAGTGTAACATAGTGACTTCACAGTTTGTTACAAGGAGCAATTCCCATGCATAAAGGCAGCATGGTAAAAACAGGAAGGTGTTTGAGGGAAAATTGGACTACTGGGCAAAGGCAGGCATCATTGGCAGAACTCGATGGTTGCTAGGATATAAGAGATTAAATGGAGAGAAGGGCCAATCTTTGAAGGAACTTAAAAGTGAAGATGAGCAATTTGTCTGATACAGTGGAAACTAGAAAGCCAGGTGGAGGGTTACAAAGAGAGGTAAATGCGGTTGTACTTTTACCTCAACCTCTCTACAGAAGAATAGCACTGGCAGTACCTAGGGCTGGGTTCTTTGAAAACCTTTAAACCATATCATATTTTTAAAAAAGATAATTTGTTATTCCCTCCATCATCCCACTCCAAATTAGTTAACCCTGCAACTATGTTTTATGACACAATTAGCAAAGGACTCAGCATGCAAATTATTGTAAATCTGCTTCCCTCCTTTTTTTTTTTATTAAAGCATTAATTTTAGCTCCTGTGCTGTTCTTCCAGTCACTGTGGTGCCCCCAAACCCATCCTTTCACATGTCACAGCTAGAGACACCTGTTGGACAATGGAGCTGGATGGGTTACATATTCCATTACATTGAAAAAAACATTATTTTGCAGCCTTTGGGATAGAACATTAATTTTTAAACTTTTTCAAAACTATATGTTCTAGCTCCTCCATCTAGCAGAGTCGCTGGTATGACAAAATGACGAAGAGTTCTGGAGCAATGAAATAATAGAAAATTGACTGGCAGGATTACAGGAGACCATTATTTCAAAAAGAAGAGGTTAGGTTTAGAATAATCTAGCAACACATAGCTGTGGGATGAACTAATTTCCTCCCCAGATTTTTCAGTTCAACTGTGAGTAATCTCATGCATGCATATAGAACAATGACTTTGGTCATTCTTAGATACAATATAAATTCTGTTGATTCTGCCATTGTTGGGCCTAATCCAAATTCCTGGATGCCAGCTTCTTATTTCTACAGTGGGCTGAACCAAACCTCTAGATCAGGGGTGGGCAAACTACGGCCCGCAGGCTGGATCCGGCCCATTAGGGCTTTGGATTTGGCCAGCGGGATTGCCACCTCTGTGGCGCCGTGGGCCCCGCGCCGCTGCTGGAAGCAGCCGGAACCACATCCCTGCAGCCCCTGGGGGACAGGGGGAAGAGAGCTCTGTGCGCTGCCCTCGCCTCCAGGCACCGCCCCCAGCAGCTCCCATTGGCCAGGAATGGGGAACCGCAGCCAATGGGAGCTTCAGGGGAGGTACCCACAGGGGAGGGCAGCACACAGATCCCTCTGCCCCCCCACCCCCAGGAGCTGCAGCGACGTGGTGTCGGCTGCTTCCGGGAGCGGCACAGGGCCAGAGCAGGCAAGGAGCCTGTCTTAGCCCCGCTCCGCGCCGCTGCCACCCTGCAGCCACTCCAGGGAAGCAGTGCCGGGCCAAAGCCCGCACCCCGAATCCCTCCTGCATCCCACACCCCAACCCCCTGCCGCACCCCTCCCACACACCAACTCCCTGCCCTGAGCCCCCTCCTGCACCCGAACCTCCTGCCCCAGCCCTACATTCATGGCCCTGCATGCAATTTCCCCACCCAGACGTGGCCCTCGGGCCAAAAAGTTTGCCCACCCCTGCTCTAGATCAAACTTTGGTTCAAATCCTCCAAAATTTGGGAATTTGAAATTCAGACCCAAATCTGAACCTTCCCAAATTGTAGCATATTCACATTTGGTTCATTACAAAGATATGTTTCAGCTAGAAATTTGGATCCAAACCTGCTCCTGGGGTTCAGATCCATGTGTACATTTAGTATTAAAACAGATAGAACTACCGAGCCTCAGACAAATTAACACACACAGTCACACCTGCGCTGTTGTATACTGTCTCAGTCTTACTCTGTTTATATAAGCTGTCAGTGTCAAGCTGTGTCATATTATCACTATGTGTCGCAGATGAAAACTATTTCTTTTTACCATAAAGACAGAGAATGCCAGATAAAGTTATGAAAATATAGATCCCTACTTGAGTATTAATCGAAAAGGACTGAATAAAAATATAGTGCCTGCCCCAGAGAAGACAAAAAAAATGAAACAAAATTATGCAACATCATGACCATGTCAGGTGGTTTATTAAGTGAAAAATAAAGAGAGCCTGTCTACCTTCATTGGTGTTAACAGAGGGAGTGTCCCTCAAGGTAATAATGGTACACAGATTAGGCTACAGTTTGTGACATATTAACAGCCTTGAATAAATAATTTAAAAAAAAATCATAGCACAATGACTAGAAAGCTTTGCCTAGGCTAAATACTGAAATTCTTCTCAAAGTTACTATCAGAGTTCAGAAATACAATAGAGATACAAAAGAAATAAAAAATACATACTGTAAAAGGAAGATAAAAAAATGTCTCTACAATGGGAGTTCATCTGTGCTTCTATTGCTTACTATTAAACAGAATATTTTTGATGAGATGTGCTGGAAGATTAATTTACTCAGCTTTAGTTATGGGCTCCTGTGGGTCTTCAGTGCGAAAGATCCCCTGTAGTGACAACTACATTTCCAAAGCTACAGATGTAGCATCTGTCACATTACTAGTCTCTTGCACGACTTGGTTTCATTTCAATGGTATTTGAAAGGAAACAGTTTTCTAATGAAAGCCATTAGAAATACCAACAGAATAAAATACATTTAGATATGCTTGGCTGCATTTTACAATATCTGTTTGAAGCATAATCTATATTTTACATATGGTGTCTACAAAAGATACTTCAGGGCACTAAGCAGTCACATAAATAACCTGCAACGTCTATTTCATTTACTCATGATTACTCACCCAACAAAATAAAGCCATTTTGGGTCTTATTTTAACTCCTCCACCCCCAGTTACACAGAATAGTACCCTACTATGAGAACAGTTCCATTAAGTAAGGGGATCAAAATAAACCTTTTTAGGGACCCCTAAAATAAACCTAGTCCAATATGCCAAGTATGTCGATATAGGGTGAAATCTTAATACATTGGAAAGGGGAGTTCAATGGAGCCAGAATGTCACCTATAACTTTAAAATAAATAGGGGTTTGTTTTGTTTTAAATCATTTAAATAGAACAGAAGTAGACTGGAACTTGTTACTGGAAATATGGAACCCCTCTACTTTATAAAAACATTAGCAAACTAGACCCCCCTCTATTTTATGCTTCGTTCTTCTCTGAGAGACCTGTTTTCAAAAGAGTAGCTGTGTAGTAATGAAACATTTTTCAAGACTTGGTGGAACATTTGTGACAGTTTTACTTTATTACTGTTTTGCACACACAACACCCCCAAGATGAATGGGGCAGTCTATTCTATATGGAGATAACAATTCCTATCTCCTTAAATTTTTGGATCAATATTTCCAGGTTCTGTTTACTTTATTGTGTATTTACATATCTATTCTTTTGAACACTAGGAATATTTTCCAAACTGGACTTTCTTTATTTTGGGATAATAAAGTCATGACAGCATATGACAGATTTGACTATAATTTTAGATTTGAACCGCATGAAACTTTTCTTATAAAAAACAGAAGCCACATAAAATTGTGCATTACTCATTGGAACAACTTACCAAATACTGTGATGGATTCTCCAACACTGAGGATTTTTAAATCAAGATTGGATGTTTTTCTAAAAGATCTGCTTTAGGAATTATTTTAGGGAAGTTCTATGGGCCATGTTATATAGGAGGTCAGACTAGATGGTCACAATGGTCCCTTCTGGCTTTGGAATCCATGAATCTATAAACTTGCTTCGTTTCTGGTTTTGCAGTAAATTTGAAACTCAGCTCAGGTTCACTGAGATGCCTTTGAATTTTTCATTGACTCCAGGCAGATTTATGGTTTTATGTAGATACCAGGTGATGTCAAATTAGTTTCATTTTGAATTTTGGGATTGCAAAACCATGCAAATTGAAACCAAAGTGTGAAATAAAACTGCTGGGCTTTATGAAGCTGGATTTAAAACCTCAACTGCAAATAG